CAAGGATATTAAAAGAACTGGCAGAAGTAATTTCAGAACCATTGGCAATAATATTTGAGAATTCTTGGAAAACAAGAGAAGTCCCCACAGATTGGAGGAGGGCAAATGTTGTCTCTATCTTCAAAAAAGAGAGGAAAAAAAGAAGACCCAAAGAATTATCGCCCAGTCAGCCTGACATCAATTCCCAGAACAATTCTAGAGCAAATCATTAAACAGACAGTTTGTTATTACTTAGAAAGCAATGCTGTCATCACTAAAAGCCAATACGCGTTTCTCAAAAACATGTCATGCCAGACTAATCTGATTTCTTTTTTTGATAGAGTTACAGGCTTGATAGATGAAGGAAACACTGTGGATGTAGCGTATCTTGATTTCAGTAAGGCCTTTGACAAAGTTTCCCATGATATTCTTGCAAGGAAGCTAGTAAAATGTGGGCTAGACAGTGCTACTGTTCAGTGGATTTGTAATTGGTTGACTGATGGAACCCAAAGGGTGCTCACCAATGGCTTCACTTCAAACTAGAGAGAGGTAACTAGTGGGGTGCCCCAGGGTTCAGTTCTGGGCCCCATGTTATTCAACATCTCTATCAATGACTTGGATGAAGGAATAGAGAGTATGCTGATTAAATTTGCAGATGATACCAAGTTGGGAGGGGTTGCTAATTCCCCAGAGGACAGGATTAAAATTCAAAATGACCTTGACAGATTAGAGTCCTGGACCAAAACTAACAACATGAATTTCAACAGGGAGAAATGTAAGGTCCTACACCTAGGCAGAAAAAAAATGAACTGCACAGATATAGGATGGAAGACACCTGGCTAGACAACAGTACCTGTGAAAGGGATCTAGAAGTCTTGGTAGACCACAAGCTGAACATGAGTCAGCAGTGTGATGCAGCTGCCAAGAGAGTCAATGCAATTCTTGGCTGCATCGATAGGAGTATAGTGTCTAGATCAAGGGAAGTGATAGTACCACTCCATTCTGCTTTGTTCAGACCTCACCTGGAGTATTGTGTCCAGTTCTGGGCACCTCAATTCAAGAATGATGTTGACAACCTGGATCGTGTCCAGAGGAGGGTGACCAAAATGGTCAAAGTTCTGGAAGCCACGTCCTATGAGAAGCGGGTTAGGGAGCTGGGAATGTTTAGCCTTACAAAAAGAAGGTTAAGAGGGGACATGGTAGCCATGTTTAAATATTTGAAGGGATGTCATGTCGAGGAAGGGACAGGTTTATTTTCCACGGCTCCAGACACGAGGACAAGGAGCAATGGTTTCAAACTACAGGAAAAGAGATTCCACCTGAATCTCAGGAGGAACTTCCTGACAGTCAGAGCTGGTCGGCAGTGAAACATGCTGCCTCGGAGTGTGGTGGAGTCCCCTTCTTTGGAGGTTTGCAAGTAGAGGCAGGATGGCCGTCTGTTGGGAGTGCTTTGATGGAGTTCCTGCATGGCAGAGAGTTGGACTCGATGCACCCTGTGGTCTCTTCCAGCTCTGTGATTCTAGATTAGACTCGATGGACCCTGCGGTCCCTTCCAGCTCTGTGATTCTATGGACACAAACAAAAAAACAAACCAGGACATTTGTGGAAAATCGTGTGTTTGGATCAGTTCCAAGCCAGAGAACCTGAACTGACCGGAAACATGAATTTTTTAAGGGTTTTTCCTGAACTTAAATATCTCACATACCTTAGAAACCCTAAGTGGATCACCAGAAACTGGAATCAACATAAGACACACACAGACAGGAGCTGCATACTGGGCTGCCCCAGAATCCATCCACATGATTGGTCACAACAGAGCTGGCTGCAGGTGGTGTCAGACAAGTGGATCGCCAGAAACTGGAATCAATATAATACACGCACAAACAGGAGTTGCATTCTGGGCTGCCCCGGAATCCATGCACATGATTGGTCATAACAGAGCTGGCTGCAGGTGGTGTCAGACAGGACTACTGAATATATATGGGCAGAGGGCCGAGCCCAAATAGTAAGCTCTGTTATTAGCTAGATGAGATAATTAAGCTTCTACTTGAAATATCAAGCAAATATATATCTTGTAAGAAAGAAAGAATCATTAATTATTTTTTGTATTAACAAGGAAATCTTTGTGCCCTCTGTTTTCAGGGTCCTAGAGGAGAAAGGGGGCCAAGAGGTCCACTTGGATTTCCAGGACAACCAGGCCTACCGGTATAACACTAACATTTTTGTCTCATCCTCACACTAGTAGTACAGGCTTTCCTTTTGTTTTCGGATGTGTATGTGGTGGTTCAACATAGTTGTGAATGTTGAGTTTTTTTAATAGGAAAATTAATATGCAGTATGCCAGCCTCCTGTCAGCTAGTGCACTACCGGATAATCTCCAGTCAGAACTGAGGCACTGGAGACCCCTGATCTCAAAACCCCTTTGCTCACAGATGGCTAAACAGTAGAAGTGTTTACTGCAAAGGCATGTTATTATGCAAATAAAGAAACTTGGGATGTACGGAAATTGTATAATGCTTTGGAAGGTGAAACAAGCTTAAGAACACAAATAGAGGGCAATACAATTCAACCAATACAATTCTGTTATTTTCTCGCACTGAATTACTGTATCTGACCTTCTCTAACTTTTGTTCCCTTGTTCTTCTCAAAGGGTATTCAAGGTCAACCTGGTTTGCCTGGAGAACAGGTAAGACATACTTTTTAATGGCAGTTTGGCAATTCATGACAGTATTAATTGAAATAAAATAGAAAGATAGCTGTGTGGTCATTACAAAATACAAATACAAAAGTAGGTGATACGTTTATAGATCACTAAAAAAAACATACAATATGCGAGCTCTTGTGGATCAGCACCAGTTTGCTAGGCATGTACCAGTATGAAGAACTTAAAGTTCAAACGTTCATGGCAATAAGAAATATTAATTGTTATTTCCATTTGTATTTGTAGATTTTTTTTTCTGATTTCCTTTGTATTGGTTTTATGGATACATCACTCAAAGTTTGGATAATAGCTACTTATTTAATAATTATTGACCTATTAAAGCCTATATCTTTTTAAAAGTTTTGAAAATTGTTTTCCTTAGGGAAATCCAGGTACTGGAGTAGAAGGACAGAAAGGAGAGCAGGTAAAGATATAAGTTGTTTTATGGTGGTTTGACATAAATAAATTGCTAATGTTTTATTATGAATATTAAAATAAATAGAAATTAAAATATATATTACCAGAATTAAGTAGGATTTCCTTTCTTAAGTTCCTTTTGAATATTCAATTTTCATTTAATTTTTTTTCTGGAAAAATTGAGTTTATGAGTATTTCTAGACAATACATTTAATCATCATCAGAATTGCCTTAGAACTGCAGAGCTAGAAGGGATCTTATTGCATAAGGAATGCATAGTTGGTTCTCAGAGGCTGTTGTAATTTTCAAAGATATAACTTCAGAAATATTCCTGTACAGGGGAAGTGGGTTTTTTTCTCCTAAAAGTCATATCTTCTGAAAACCCAACATGGCAGTGTTTTGTGAAGAAAAAAACTGTGTTGCTTATTTTCAGTAGTATCTGAGACTTGCATTTGGACCAGTTAGGCCTACTCTAATTTGAATTATCTGTGAAAGCTTAGTGTACACCCATAATTATTTTGGAACATCCCTCAATTCATTGCTGCTGTGGATCACCAAAAAATATAAAAATGTCAGTTTATTAATTGTGTCATCAACATTTCACAAAGTGGACAAATAAATACAGTGAAATACAAGCTCATACTTGTTAAGAAAAACTGTTGATATGGAAAGAAGTTAACAGGAATCAGTATCTGACTCAGCTGTAGAGAGTAGAGTCCGTAACTTCTCCAATAACTGGGAAAGAGTTAGTGTTTGTAGAGGGTAGAGTCCGTAACTTCTCCAGTAAATGGGAAAGCGTTAGTATTTGACTCTTCAACTGGAGATGGGGATAAATTCACTCAATAGTCCCAACAAGAGGTATCTCATTTAATCAGTGGAGTTTGTGCAAGCATTGACGTAACAACTCCTGCTCATTTGTTGAGTAAATTCTGTTGTTATTGTTGTTATGTGCTATCAAGTCACCTCCAATTCATGGTGACTGTATGAATGAGTGATTGCCAAAATGTCCTGTCTTCAACAGCCCTGCTCAGCTCTTATAAACTCAAGCTTCCTTTAAGGAATCAATTTGGTCTTCCTCTTTTTCTGCTTCCTTCCATCTTCTCCGGCATTATAGTCTTTTCCAGAGAATCTTGCCTTCTCATGATGTACTCAAAAGAGGACATTCTCAGTTTCAACATTTTTGCCTCCAGAGATAATTCAGGCTTGATTTGATCTAAGACCCATTTGTTTGTCTTTCTGGCAGCCCAGGGTATCTGTAAAGCTCTCCTCCAGCACCACATTTCAAACAAATCATTTTTTTATACCGATTCATTTTGTAGTGGTGTATTTGCTGTATTCTAGTTGGCATTAATAATTGATTTTAATTGGTCTTAAAGCTCTGCAACTAATTCAGTGAGACCATTTACTTAGTTTACTTTTCACATGACTTTTTAGGGTGATGTAGGACCTCCCGGTTCTCCTGGACAGCCACTACTGGTTGGACCTCCTGGTTCTCAATTGCTAAAGGGAGACAAGGTAGGCAAATAATAAAGTGAATTATAATGGTAGCATTTATTGTACCACAATGTCCCATTATAAGTCCCAAGACCTTTCAGTGACATTTTCCTTTGTTTCATATGCTTAGTGACATTTACCATCATTTCATATGCTAGGGATCTGCCTAGTCCCCTAATCCTACTGCTGAATATGACTGTGATAGAAAACAGGAGAACAAACACTGGAATTAACACAGCAGCAGCCTGTGCAAATGAGACAAATTTCCCCTGCTGTTCTGCACACTGCTTCTGTATACTAAAGGCCATATGCCCCTTTCACTATGGCAGCTGCTGACGTAGTGCAGATCTGTAGTAGTGGTAGTAGTATTTTTTTATAATAGTTTGAATGATCGAGTTTCCTGTAATCATCTAACTCGGTTTCAAAATGAAGACATTGCAAGAAATAGTGTATCATCTGTAATTTAAAATACTGTACTATTTAAACTGCTTCAATATTTAGGGTGTAAAAGGAATGCCAGGATCTGCTGGCCTGAAAGGACTGCGTGGTCGCAAAGTAAGTGACATGTTTTTTAAATCCATAAATAGATTTTGTAATGTAGCTCTCAAATCTTTTCATTCTCATGCTGAGAAGTAGTTCTTTCTGGTGAGCTGTAGATTTCCTGGTTATATTTCTGACCAACAGCCCTTTCATGGGGGAAAGAGGAAACGGGGCGATCTGGATTCAAATCCCAGGGAGATGAATGATGGGGAAGAATGCCTATTCCGAAACATTGATTTTATGACTCATTTCCTTACAGAATGTGAGACTGAATTGTCCATGCACGAGTAATTCTTTCTGGATACATAGTTATAATACACATTAATTGGATCAATTCTTCTCTGTTCAAGTACTAATGGGCAATAGGCATTAAAATCCATATGCTCATTGTGGAAAATTGTCTGATTTTAGAGGACCCCTTTCTTCCTTGTGTTTTAGAGGACCAACTACTATTCAGTATGGAGAAGTTTTATGTACTGTTCACTCTCCATCAGTTGATAGCACATTATGGATTGTAGTACTTTTTGCAGCTTCATTAAAGTCATGATGAAGATTATGATGGTGGGCTAAGAATGCAGTTTTGACATCAGGGCCAAACTAGTCAAGATACATTTACAGTAATAATTACAATTAGGAATTCTGTAATGGTGTTTTTTAAAATATAGCAGGTATTATATCCCAAATCTGAATTGAAACCTTGATCTAATTCTGGACCAGGCTCTTTGCTTCTTCTACTTTCATGGGGGAAAGGAAAACTTCAGTTCGTGCCTGTGGATTCTTTTCATCCACAGAAAATAGGAAGCATGGAGAACTGAAGACTCTCAGAGTCCTGATGCATTTGAGGGACTGCTATTTTTAAAAAAAAACCATTTGTGTACTTGCTAACTGCAGGAATGACAGCAAGTAGGTCTCAAACTATGGGACAGCAGTCTACCGCTATTATCTCCTGAACTGTTTTCTGTGGAAGGCTGTTTTAATTCTTTATTTATAATTGTCTCTGATCTGCCTTTCCTTTCATTCATTCTCCCTGTAATTCTCCAGCCCACTTTCCAGTGACAGAAACCTTCTATCTCACAAAGGTTCTAATGGCAGCTCACAAGAGTCTATCAAGGGCCACAAGCAGCCACCCTTATGATCATATGCTGTGTAGTAGCTCATACACAGTTCTCTTCATATGTCTGGTGTCTGCACCAGCAAGAAGAGCTCTTTCAATTGCAAGAGGAAGGGTCTGGTATGATCTATTTTCTGATGACAAGATGATGTATGGGAGAGCCCAACCCTGCACTGTGCACAATCAAGACCTTTTTTAGGCCAGTGGCAGGGCTGTTCCTTTTCTGGAGCTGGGGTGGAGCAATCAGGAACAGATCATCTGTGGGCAAAAGGTTAACTTTAAAGTGTCACTTTTAAGATTGTCCTCAGCAATGGGACCCTTTCTGATATGGTCCAGCGTTATTTTTATATCTCTATCAGATCACAGCCTTACTTAAGCTGTGCCCTGGCAAAGGTGAGGCAAATGATGCAGTCCCATGTTTACATGCTAGAGCCCTTCACAGAAGTAACATACAATGATAGGCCCTGTATTGCTTTCTTGAAGTGGCTTATCCAACATGTTTTGCATAACAGGGAGCACTTGGAAATGGAGACAAAGGTGAAAAGGGGATTCCTGGTTTTCCTGGAATGAGGGTAAGGAAGTTTTAGAATACAGTTTCAAGTCACATATTGCTTATGAACTGTGTAAGGGCAATTAAACTATATTAGAATATTTCACGTTAGTAACAAAATATGTTTAAACTGATTTGTACTGTATTTTACATTACCTCTGTTTGTCAGTTCTGCTGAAGGTATTTTAAAAAATGATAATTTTAAGAATTTTTGGTTGGAGTCCTGCTGGTGTTTGTATAAGGTTTGCAGAGCTTGCTGTGGCTAATTGCAGATCATTGGCAAGGTGCTGGAGTATATCTTTGTTGTGCTGTCAGATGTAGGACCAAGCAGATGACCAAGGTGAACCTCAGAAACTAGCCAATTAGCGACAATTAGCAGTTGCAAGTTACATACCTTACGCACGTGCACACACACACGCACACACACACACACACACACACACACACACACACACCAGTAGGGGTCTGCCTATTATCATAAACCATCCTGAAGAACACTGAATGGTCTGCACACATCTAGTGGAACTTCTTTCTCTCTCTTGTCTCTTGGTGACATCACATTTGGAGTAGCATAAACTGTGTTTGGAAAGTGTTTAGATAACGTAGCAACTCTAGAATGCTGGGATCAAACTGTTGATGAAGGTCAGTTATGTGTGACTCTTGTTAAGACAGCTTTATCGGTTACCCATCTGTTTCCAGGCACAAGTCAAAGCACTGATTATATAATATATGACAAGATATCAGACCAAACCTTTTAGATGATTTTATTCTCCCTTCTCTAATTCTCTGCCAGCAGATACCATGGCATTCCAAATTTACTGTCATGCAAGCAAGCAAAACTGTGTTATTCAAATAGGCCTCTGACATTTAAACTGGATTATACTTGAAGGGTGCTATTGTTCCTTTTGATTGATATGTTTTAAATCTGTTAATATATTTCATTTACATTTATTCTTGCCAGATTTTTATTGTCATGGGCCATTCCGAGTGCCTCCCCTGCTTCTTTACCTGTTGTTTTTCACTGTTTGTTATAACATCAATAATTAGAAAATATTACATCATATCTTCAGTTTTACTACAGATTTGTGGAAGAAGCTTCACTAAAATTAAACTGCATTTTAAGTAGTGCACAGGTTGCTTTCCTTGTCATTGAGATAAATGTAACGGCACTGTTTCATGCTGAGTAGTATATTCATAAAGAAGCACTCATGTGCACATGAATGTCATTGTGTTAAAACTCTCACACAGCCATGAATGAATTCTCTCCTTTAAATGTACCTCCATGTAAAGGCTTGGACTCTAATCTTTGTTATGACTGACTCCTATTGAAGCCAGTGGAAGAATTTAGTTCTTACACTACGTCCCATTGTTCTAAAAGGGATTTAGATACCACGAACCTTAGCTGGAGTGTGTCATCATAACAAGAGGTGAATTCAATTCATTTTTGTGAAATTTACTTTCAGACAGTGTAGTCCTCTTGGAAGGGGATTCTGTCACCACTTCCTCACTACTGCAACTTTTTGCCACTCCTGGGATGACACTAGGAGCCATGGAGGAGATTTACACAAATGGTGTGGGATGGGGTGCAGAAAGCCATTGGGAGAGGGAAGAGATCGTCAAAATCGGGTTAAGGCACATTGTGCAAGTAGAGTAAGGATCTATCCACACAATGTGTTCCTGATCAGTGTGTTAAAACAATCAGTACAGTACCTCTCTATTTATTTTCTTTACTGTAGGGGAGTCCTGGTGCTAATGGAGTTCCAGGTTTTCAAGGAAGCAAGGTACTGCAAAGAAAAAATTATATTGCCAGAGTTCAGTATGCTTGGCCAAACACAGCAGTGGTGGATTAATGGGGTGGGTGTTACTAAGGAGTGACAACTGGTTGAAGAACAGGGAGCTGAGAGTAATGAACAATGAAAGACTCACAACATCTACATTAAAATGCACATTCACTCTTCAGCTACCATCCTACCCCTCCCAGAATAAATTAAGGGTAAAAAATTTCAGAAAATCTGTGAATCTTCAAGGAACAACAGAGAGTACCAAGATTATAATGCTGAAAGAAAGAACTGCCCACCCCTGAAAATGGATGGAACCTCAGGAAAATCTAGCTCCCAGCCACATGGAGAACAGGGTTACTTGGAAGTCACTTACAGTAATAGGCTACAGAGTGCATTTAACAGAAACAGAGTGAACTCAAGAAAATAGGGGTTTCAAACTGACACAGTCCTTTGTGATTGCAGAGTAGAACAGGCAATGTCGCACCCCTGCTGGTGTAATATATGTACTATAGTGTACTCACATGTGTCATAGAAGATTTAATGTTAGCTGCTCCATATGCTCTTGATGTTGTTCCTTATTGGATGAAAATTATCTGATGTATGTTTTAATTGTACTGTGCTGACATGAACAAGGGAGACCCCCCCCATTATGCTTCTTCTACTTAGTGGGGTAAATGAGTGACTTAAATTAAAGAGCTCATGTGAAACAGCCATAAACATCAGTATGCCTTTCCAAAAGATTGTTGTCCCAAGCATTAGCAAACCTGCAACACTCACACTGTAGAGATTATATGTCACATAAACCCTAGAAACCTAAAAGATAAAGGCCGCCCAGAAAGTCCATCTTACCCAGTTGCCTCCAAGTGCAAGGAAAGCCTGTCTTCTAATTAGCTGATAAATTTATTAAAAGTATTGGGGTGTTTCTGACATGAACAACAAAAAAAAAGATTTAAAAAAAGAGTGTCATGGAAGTAGTGGGATTGCACATGTATCATTTTTGGTAGCGCTGCTTTTACTCTGCGTTACTAATGCATTACTAACATTACTTGTGAAGTAATAAGTACAGTAATGCATTATTTTTCCTCTAACAGAAAAAATTAATGCTAATTTTTCTTTTTAAATAAATGCCCAACGCTTTGTAATTTATTTTCATAATAGTGTACATAGAGATGTGAATAAGGGTTGTTTTATTTTAGGGTGAAACTGGAATGGATGGATTTCCTGGACAGGATGGTTTTACAGGGATTAAGGTTAGCTCTTTGATTAAAAAAAACATTTTGAGTGTTTCTGTTCATATTAATTTTATATTGAATGTATAGCTGATTCTATGCTGTGTGTGTGAAGGGACTCCATACTTATCCCCCCCACCTCAATAAGTTACTTGCAAATATTGCAGTCTGATGTGTAGTGTTTGCTTCCTTGTAATCATCTTCCTTCCTCCTGGACTAGAAATGATTGAAACTGATCAATGCCACTGACTGGTATTGAGCACAGATAATAGAATTATTATGTCAGTCAACAAAGAGGGAGGAGCAGATATGAGTCTTTTCTGAATATGGGTGTGATCTGGTTTCCTCTGTATCTATGCTGGAAATCCAGGCATCCATTTGGACACCCATAGTCAGTACCCCTGTTCAATATTTGCCTGTGTTAAACCTGTTCTCCTTGAATCATCACCGCTGCCGCCGCCATCTTGCTATGTATTTTCTCTCTCTTTCAGGCTGACTTCCATTCACAGTCTGTTAGTGAAACAATTGCATATGCCCTTCCCTATTACTTCGTACTATGCAGCACACTCTCTTTGATCTTCTCTGCCCCCTCATGCTTTTTAAGAGTGGCATGTGCAACAACATGTGGGTGTCTAACATATAAAGAGCATTCAGCCTCCCAGGCTTTGGAGAAACACTTTCAAAAGGCCGGTGAACCTAATGACTGTGTGCCAATGACCCAGTGCAACTTCCCCTCTTCCCCTGGAAGGCTTTTCCTCCACTGTTTCCTTTAAAAACAACATAGACCACAATTCATATACTGTATGAATATTCCAAGTGCTTTCAGTGTCTTATTTCAGTAGTACTGTATTTATAAAGAAAATTAGTAAGTAAATGCATACATGTGTTTGTATGTGCACGCATGTACATTCATTCTTTCCTATCCCCCCCTCAAATGTTGCTCCATACTTGAACTTTCATGTTCCTGTGTGGATAATCTTCCTTTGCTGTATTCTTAATTTTCAACTCATGTTCTTAAAGTTAGCTTGTCTCAGGTATGTTTCTGTGCAATGCTGCTAAGAATTCAAAAGACTGCTTTCCTGTGATGCTGTATAGATTCCCCCACCCTCACTAAGCATGATCTTAAAGCTATTTTACTTCATTTCTACCATTTTTAATGGACTGCTCCTTATTCAAAAGATTGCTTTTCTGTTCTGCAATGCAGCAGTCTGTAAGTGAAGAGAATTGGTAGAAAGCTAGATATGATTACAGTACTCTGCTTTGCCCACAGTGACTTTACTCCGTGTCTCACCATTCCACTTTTCCAGCCACCCCTACACCATGCCATAGCCATGCAGACAGGTGACCTTAATTAATTCTATGACATTTCACTGTCCTAAATCCATGCACATCTCAGCAATAAACTTGGTAATTCTTACAGGGAGACCCAGGAGAAAGAGGGCAACCAGGTCCACCAGGACCTCGAGGAACACCACGCACTGGAATCAAAGGTTTAGTGTTAAATTATTATTATTTTATTTTATAAAAATAATGAAAAAGTTGAATTGTTTTTGAAACAGTTACATTTTCAATGATGCCATACAGGTTTTCAAGGAGACTCTGGAGACCTAGGACCTCCTGGAGATGTGGGGGCAGTTGGGTTGCCAGGTCCTCCTGGTGTTAAAGGAAGACCAGGGGAAGATGGGGCTGGTGAGAAACCTTCTACTTGATTATTTTATTTTATAAAAATAATGAAAAAGTTGAATTGTTTTTGAAACAGTTACATTTTCAATGATGCCATACAGGTTTTCAAGGAGACTCTGGAGACCTAGGACCTCCTGGAGATGTGGGGGCAGTTGGGTTGCCAGGTCCTCCTGGTGTTAAAGGAAGACCAGGGGAAGATGGGGCTGGTGAGAAACCTTCTACTTGACTTGAGATAAAACAGTTAAAATACAATTTAAAATACAGTGTTCTAAAAATTGCCATCAGGACCCACAGTTGATATTATTTCAATTAAAAACCTTCTGTAACAGGAAGGTTTTGACCTGGTGCCGAAACATCATCAACATTGGCAACAGACAAATCCGACTTGGGATGGCGTTCCATAGTATGGGGGCAGCTGCTGAAAAGGCCCTTTGCCTACAAGCCATTCCTCTTACCTCCTTGTGGGATGGCTCTTTCAAGAGGCCCCCTGGCTAGATTTTAATTGCCAGGTAGTTTCATATGGAAGGTGGTCCTTCAGGTATCCAGGGCCCAAGCCATTTAGGGCTTTATATGTCAAAACAAACACTTTGAATTTGGGTCCAGGCAGCAACTGGTAGCCAATGTAATTTGAAGAGAATCAGCTTGATATGTTCCCTTGCGGCTCCACCACTTACCAGCCGCACAGCTCGATTCTGGACCAGTTGCAGTAGCCAGATCATCTTCAAAGGCAGCCCCATGTACAGCACATTGCAGGGATGTTACCAGTGCATGGGATGTTACCAGTGCATGAGTAACTGTCCTGAGACCCTGATCATCCAAGTAGGGCCATAGCTGGTATAATTTCTGCAGCGGAAGGAAGGTGCCCCTGGCCACCGAGTCCACCTGGGCTTCCAGAGTTAGACTGGGGTCCAGGAGCACCTCCACTCTGTGGACCCTCTCTCTTAGGGGGAGTGCAACCCCATTCAGGGCAGGGTAATAGCCCTCCAGCCTGTCCGGCGAAGCACCCACTGATAGCACTTCCGTCTTGTCTGGATTGAGTTTCAATGTATTAACCCTCATCCAGTCCATTATCAGATCCAGACATGCGTTCAGTACAGAAACCGCCTCACCTGGATTGGTGGAAAGCGAGAGGTAAAGCTGAGTGTTGTCAGCATATTACTGACTCCTCAGCCCAGACCTCCTGATTACCTCTCCTAGCAGTTTCATGTAGATGTTAAATAGCATGGGGGACAGTATCAAGCCCTGAGGAACCTCATGAAATAAACGCCATGGGGCAGACCAACTGTCCCCCATCACACCTTCTGGACACAGTCAGCCAGGAAGGAGCAGAACCACTGTAAAGCAGTGCCCCTCCCTCCCAACCCAGCCAGCCTATCCAGAAGGACACCATAGTCGATGATGTCGAAAGCCACTGAGAGGTCCAGGAGTATCAGCAGGGTCACACTCCCCCTGTCTCTCTCCTGGCAAAGGAGGGTGACCAAGGCAGTCTCAGTACCAAAGCCTGGCCTGAAACCTGATTGAAATGGATCCAGAAAATCCGTTTCATCCAGCAGCACCTGGAGTTATTCGGTCACAACCCACTCCAACACTTTGCCCAAATAAGGGAGGTTTGTCACTGGCCGGTAGTTAACCACCAGCCTTGGGTCCAGGTTGGGCTTTTTAAGGAGTGCCCGAATTACCACCTCTTTCAATGTAGCAGGGACCACTTCCTCTCTCAAAGAGGCATTCATGGCCTCCTGGACTCAGGTGTGAACCCCCCTGACAGATCTTCCAATTAGCCAAGATGTGCAAGGGTTGAGCGGCATGGTGGTAGAACAGGCAGATACAAGCACCCTGTCCACATCCTCAGGTCTCAACAATTGAAACTCATCCATTAATAATTGACCTAAGCACGGCACACTGGACACAGCCTCTGATTCTGCAGTAACAGTGGAGTTCAATCCACTGTGAATCTGAGTGATTTCCCCCTCAAAATGAATAGCAAACTCATCACAGAGCGCTGATGAGTGGTCCAGGACCTCCACCTGATTTCCCAATTGAAAAGATCCCGGACCACCTGAAACAGATCTGCTGGACAAAATTCCGAAGAAGCAATATGAATGGCGAAATACTGCTTTTTTTGCCAGCTGTATTGCCACAAAATAGGCGCGATAATGGGCTCTAAGTCATGTTCGATCAGACTCCTAGCAGGATTTCCTCCACCTGTGCTCCAGCCGTCTCCCCTCTTGCTTCATTGCCCACAGTTCAGATGTATACCAAGGAGCTGTCTGGGCTCTGCATGCAGGGAGAAGGCGCTTAGGCAGAATCGTGTCACCCACCCGGCTCATCTCCTTATTCCATAGGGTGACCTGAGCTTTGACAGGAGTGCCAACCATACAGTATCAGACGGATAATCCCCCAGTGCATTCAGGAAACCATCCAGATCCATTAGTCTCTGAGCGCGGATCATCTTAATAGATCCCCCACCCTTGCAGAGGAGAGGAGAAGCCCGGGGTCCAACTAAAATTGACCAGGAAGTGGTCTGACCATGAAAATGAGGTAACAACCAGCCCCTCCACATCCAAACCACTGTCTTCCAGTCCCATTGAGAAAACCAGGTCCCAAGTATGGCCCTTCTCAGGTGTCGGGATGATGACACATTGAGACAGTCCCATGGTTGCTATGATGGTCATGAAATCCTGAGCCGTCCCAGTCAAGGCAGCCTCAGCATAGATGCTGAGGTCCCCCAGCACCAACAGCCTAGGAGTCCTCAACACCAGGTCCAAGACTACCTCTGTCAGCTCAGGCAGGGAGACTGTTGGTATGCAGCAGGGTAGACAGTACACCAATCCCCACTTTCTTATAAGCCCAACACACAATATAGGCCCTCAAGGATAGGAAGCCTGGTCAAGGAGATAGAACTCCTATAGACTTTAGCAACTCCCCCTCACTGACCCTCCGAGTGACATTGGTGCTGGACTGAGTACTCAGGCGGACACCGCTGGGAGACGGGAACATCACTCTCCTCTCCCACCCAGTCTCAGTAATAAACAAGGTGGATTATGGAGTGGAAAGGGAAGAATAGAAGTCATATAGTCAGATTTAATCTCTTCCCATAAAAGTTATGGTGTCCAACTGAATGCTTAGAAAATAGTTACATAATTTAATTAAGAGTCACAGAGTGGATTAATTATGACTGAATCTGAAGAATGGATGCAGTCCAGCTGAAAATAATGGGAAGATGAAATTGTGACTTAATTTAAATCCTATTGATTTCAGTGAGAATACAGTTCACTGATTTCAGTAAAAATTGGATTCATTGATTTAAGTGGGAAAGGAGTTCAGTCAGCTTACAGTACAATCCAGAACACATCTATTTCGAAATAGATCCAATTGACCTTAGTGAGGTTTGCCCCTGAGTGGATATATGTATTGGGTAGCATGTAGTCTAGATCCAGTCAAAATGCCAAGAGACCATGCCATGATGTTGCCTCTGGATTGTATAACAATATTGCGATCAATCCTGGGAAACTAATATATTTTATGTGCCATCAGGTTGGTTTCTGACAGATGACTTCTTGTGAATAAATGGCTTCCAAAAGGCCTTATGGTTAACAGCCCTGCTCAGCTCTTGCAAACTCAAGGCTGTGACTTCCTTTATTGAGACAGTCCATCTCACTGTATGTTTTCCTCTTTCTGTTGCAAGTGCTATTGTATCTATTGTGCAAGGGGGGGGAACCCATTGTGACAAACCCAGACCTACTGGGATCTGCCACACGTTAACTAAGCTGCCACCAACCATTCCCTATAAGATGTCACACAATAACACCCATGGAAAGATATCTTCTCTGCAAACCCATCACAAAAACACCCTGATCACAGTAATCACCCAATCTCCTGAAAAGAACAAAAATCTGATCCCAGAACTACAAATGCTCAACAATCCCACACATTACACCAGAACGCAGGCAGAGTTCTAGCTCCTCTCCTCTAAAGATACTGGCCACAGAGACTGGTGAAGAAAAACCTCCAGAACATGGCCAAACAGCCTGAGAAACCTACAACAACCAGTTTAAAGATAATTGACAAATTTGATGGGGTCTGGTAAAGAAATGGAATTCAGACATTTTTGGCTTCTTCATTTCCGTGAAGGAAATGTTTGTTAAATATGTTTATACAGTATCAGAGGAAAACATTAAGTGAAAATATTCAATAAGGTATAGTTCAACCAATGTTGAGTTTTCGAATGCTGCCTTGTAGAGCTGCTTTCAGAAACATGTACTTTGTGGTCATTTCAATTTGTGTAGGCAGGCTCCCTGACTTGGTCTTCTTCCTTTCCACCACAGCTTTTCCTGGTCCCAAGGGTGCATTGGGAGTACAAGGTCCACAAGGATTTCGAGGCGCTCCTGGCCCCACAGGTGTGGCTGATACAGCCCTAGGAAAGCCAGGAGCTCCAGGATTTCCTGGTTTTCCAGGAATGCCAGGAAGACAGGGTTTGCCAGGACCGCCTGGTAAGATAAGCAAAATACTTTTACCCTTGAATGAGAAGAGCTGTTCTTTATATTTTCAGAAAATTGGTGAAATTTCCTATAACATTTCTTATATAAGAATGGATTTGAATGTTATATATCTTGTCTTTCACTTACTCCATCTCCATAGGAAGATAGGAGTGGAAACATGTAGAAATAAATTTATTTTATCTGAGGAATGTAGTTTACAGTTACTAACCTTTTGTGTCTCCCACTTGTGTTTGAAATCTGGCCCCCAGAGAATTGTCTGAGTATTGTAATATAGTTTCTATTAAATTGAACATCAAGTTACTATGGATGAAGCCAGAATCTCATGCCAAATTGAAGGGGAAAGACTGAACTGCACCTTCAGTGAAACCAGCTTCAGCTATTATTTGTATTATTTATTTGATTTCTTTCCCACACTTCCTCATGGGAGCCCAGAGTATCAACCTATTCACATAAAGGCGTGGTTAAAATCAAAAGTTACAACTGTCTAAAATCACAAATCTTACATCACATATTACACATCTCTGGAATTATAAACACCTGAAAGTAAAAAATGTCATTGCCATTCGTACTGTCTAATGGTTTAGATTCAAGGATGATGTAGAGTTCTTTTTAAAAAATGGAGATAAACATAAAACATTTGCCTTATAATTTTTTTTTAATATTTAGACGTGGCTTGTAATGGAAGAGGGGCTCCTGGTCAGTCAGGAACTAAAGGTCAGAGGGGACAAACTGGACAAAGAGGTATAAAAGGAGAGAAAGGCAAGTATATGCATCTCTCACCGCATATAATTCATTCCTGATGGAGTGTGTAATTTAACCATAAATGTCTTTCAGATAGTTATGTTGCTTATGCAAAGCCTTTTTTTTTTTGGTAACTACACAGGGAACCCAGGCAACTGCTTATGTGGTCTTGGGCCCCCTGGTGCCCCCGGAATACAAGGCCCATCTGGGGTTCCTGGAAGAAAAGGAGAGGTGGGGTTTCCTGGGAAATATGGAAGAAGAGGTGATCCAGGCTTACCTGGTGCAATAGGACAACCTGGTGTACCAGTGAGTAACTGTAGAGAATATGTGCTGTCCTGATATCCAAGTCAAAATTCCTTTTTTTTTTTTGTATTCTCCTCTGCAAAGCTCAGAGATATGGGTTATCTGTGTATGTTTTTGTTTTTGTTTTGCTTTTTAAAGTGTTTTTTTGGACTACAGCTTCCAAAATCTCTTAGTCATCCATGATTCTGTAACATACAGTCCAAGGTCGGAATCTTGTTTGTGTAAACTGTGCAATGGTCTATTGGACAAGTTTAAAACATTTTTGAGCTTGTTTCAGGAGGATGTAATCCACTATCTCCTTGTTTAAGCAAAAGGCCCACTCTTTCCGATAGAGTGATCTCTGCTTATGCAGCAACAAACAAAAAAGACCACAGAACTATGTAGGTGGAAAGTTACATTGCACCTGTGTTCAGCAGGATTCTCCCCTCACCCAACCCCAAATATTATGAAGCTCTGGTCCTCCCACTTTTTTTCTGAATATTTAAGCCTGACTAAGTTTCATTTATGTTTTTCAATTTGTCTGACTCTATTTGCATTTGCTCTGCTAGACTAAGGCATTCTAAAAACAAATCATTAAGCAAGATTTAATATTTTCATTAAGTATTGCCACATGGGGGTAGATTAGGGATCTCAATGACCAATGCTATCTGCTTGAATCGCATAGACTTCTCTATTAGGCAGGAGGAAGAAGACAGTGACATATTTTCTTACTGTCCTGCTTATCTTATGAATGTTCATTGCTAGCCAATCTTACCTATTAATACAAACAATGAATTGCTTGAGCTTAACTTTTTTCCCCATTTATAAGGGAATGCCAGGTGTATTTGGGCCAAATGGTGAAAAAGGAGATAAAGGTGACCCGGCTAGAAAAAGAATCAAAGGTAAATAAAGCAACCTACTGTGCTCATCAGATTTTTCTTTAAATTTACAAACCACTTAGAATGCTTTCTCCAAATTTTGAATTATACTGTACTTGAGATTGAAAGATTGCCACACACAGCATATGAATCTCCTTGGAAGAAAAAGAGATATGAGCAAGAAACAGAGAGCACAAAGGGAGAGGGATTTGTGGTGTAATGCATTGATCATCACTTAATATGTAAGTCACTGTTAAAGTGAGGGTGAATGTAATTCATACATGCTCTCAATGCTTATGCATTGACTTGGGTACTTTTGTGATGGTCTGTTTAAGCCATAGAAGCTATTTAAGCTATTGCTGCATCTGAATCAAGAAGCTGGGACGATCTGCTCTTCATTCCATATTCTGCCACAATGGGAAACATACTACCCAGTCAGAAGTACTGTTGTTGTTTAGTCGTTAGGTCGTGTCGGACTCTTCATGACCCCATGGACCAAAGCATGCCAGGCCCTCCTGTCTTCCACTGCCCCCTGGAGTTTGGTCAAATTCATGTTGCTAGCTTTGATGACACTGTCCAACCATCTCGTTCTCTATCATTCCCTTCTCCTCTTGCCTTCACCCTTTCCCAATATCAGGGTCTTTTCCAGGGAGTCTTCTCTTCTCATGAGATGGCCAAAGTATTGGAGCCTCCACTTGAGGACCTATCCTTCCAGTGAGCACTCGGGGTTGATTTCCTTCAGAATTGATAGGTTTGTTCTCCTTGCAGTCCGGGGGACTCTCAAGAGTCTCCTTCAGCACCACAATTCAAAAGCATCAATTCTTCAGCAGTCAGCCTTCTTTATGGTGCAGCTCTCACTTCCATACTTCGCTACTGGAAAAAACATAGCTTTGACTATGTGGACCTTTGTCGTCAAGGTGATATCTCTGCTTTTTAAGATGCTGTCTAGGTTTGTCATTGCTTTCCTCCCAAGAAGCAGCCATCTTTTAATTTTGTGGCTGCTGTCACCATCTGCAGTGACCATGGAGCCCAAGAAAGTAAAATCTGTCACTGCCTCCATATTTTCCCCTTCTATTTGCCAGGAGGTGATGGGACCCATGGCCATGATCTTAGTTTTTTGATGTTGAGCTTCAGACCAATTTTGGTGCTCTTCTCTTTCACCCTCATTAAGAGGTTCTTTAATTCCTCCTCACTTTCTGCCATCAGAGCGGTATCATCTGCATATCTTAGGTTATTGATATTTCTTCTGTCAATCTTAATTCCGGCTTGGGATTCCTCCAGTACCACCTTTCGCATGATGTATTCTTCATATAAGTTAAATAAGCGGGGAGGCAATATACAGCCTTGTTGTACTCCTTTCCCAATTTTGAACCAATGAGTTGTTCTATATCCAGTTCTAACTGTTGCTTCCTGTCCCACGTATAGATTTCTCAGGAGATAGATAAGGTGGTCAGGCACTCCCATTTCTTTCAGGACTTGCCATAGTTTGCTCTCATCCACACAGCCAAAGTCTTTTGCGTAGTCAATGAAGTAGAAGTAGATGTTTTTCTTGAACTCTCTGGCTGTCTCCATAATCCAAAGCATGTTAGCAATTTGGTCTCTAGTTCTTCTACCCCTTCGAAATCCAACTTGTACTTCTGGGAGTTCCCAGTCCACATACTGCTGAAGGCTACCTTGTAGGATTTTGAGCATAACCTTGCTAGCGTGTGAAATTAGTACAATTGTACCATAGTTGGAGCATTCTTTAGCACTGCCCTTATTTGGGATTGGGATGTAGACTGATCTTTTCCAATCCTCTGGCCACTGCTAGGTTTTCCAAACTTGCTGGCATATTGAGTGTAGCACCTTAACAGCGTCATCTTTTAAGATTTTAAATAGTTCAATTGGAATGCCATCACCTCCACTGGCCTTGTTGTTAGCCATTCAGAAGTATTAAATGCCCTAAAATGTGCCTAAATCAATCTGTTTTTCTGCCCGCATTCTATTCCTTTATAAGAACTTATGTAGGTATAAATATTCACATATATATACTCATTCATCCCTGTACAAGGCTGACATTTCAAGATTCCTTTAAAAGAAACAGTTTGCACATCACAGACAGCTAATTAATTGTTTGACCTGTTCGTTGTAATAGCGAAGCATATGTTTTCTGACATTTACAAAATCTTGTACTTCATAATTCATTATGTTCTGCATTTCCCCCTATTTTTCCTTTTCCATCAGGACTATTTTTATGCATCACAATTTTATACAAACTTCAAACACTGTGTTTGCTATTCACTGTTGCAAGAACATACCATTGATATTCTGAGCTCTTATTGCTATACAATACAGTATGTGTTATTATAAATGGAAAATAAAGTACCATAGTGTTATGTGTTTCCAAGTTCCATCCAGTTTATGGGCTGGAATCCTATTGGTGTTTGTGTAAGTTCTATGTGACCTGGAGCAGCTAATTGACAAAGTGCTGGGGTGCGTCTCAAGTGTTCCGTCAGGGGCATAACGAGGCACAAGAGCAAGATGTGCCCTAGCACCTCTTCAGTTACTTCCTTGCTGCAAGTTACATAAACCTCACATGAACACCAGTAGGATTCTGGCCATGGTAACCTTAATAAGGTGAGATATTCAGCACACAGGCTGGTGAGTGAAAGAGCTGGTGAAGGGGGTGGGGAAGGGAATGCAGAACTTACGACAAAGGTGCACATCACTGCATTCAAGTAATCATGGGCTTGGGCAGCATATACACAAATGTCTTCTAGAGATATTGGCTATAAACTTTCCTTCATTTTAAAGGGACCAAAGGACAAAGAGGTATCCCAGGAGAGCCTGGATTTCCAGGAAGAAATGGTTCTCCTGGCAGCAGTGGAGATCCAGGGTTGCCTGGTGAAAAGGGCCTTCAGGTATCTTTGATTGTCTTGACAATTGTTTTGTCCTTCACTGTGGATCAATTTCTTTAAACTTCTGGTTTCATGCATAGAAAATGAGACTGTTAACTTATATTGCTTTTCAGGAATTGGCTGAATTTGTTTATAAAACGTCCAGAATTCCATACTGACCAGGGGATTCAGGGAATTGCAATTTTAAGAATTGATTTACCAACATTTGTCTACAGACTGTTGTCATGATATAATAAGGTGCAATACATATGAACCTGTGGTTAGAATACCAAACTATTTTGTAATCTTCAGTGAGTTCATGTGAGTACATGGGATTTCAGCAGGATGTACTGATGGAGTAAAAGTAGCCTAACTTATTTTATTTGATTTATTTATTTATTTTATTTTATTTGTTCGATTTATATCCCGCCCATCTGGTATATTCTACCACTCTGGGCGGCTTACAGAATATCAAAAACAATTTTTAAAAAAACATAAAAACAGCATACAGCAATAACAAATAGTGCAGGAATAAATAAATAATAAATAGTAAAGAAAAGAAATCAGTAGTTGACATGAGGGAAAACCTGGATGTACATCCATGTTTTCAGTTGGCATTTGAACGTACCCAGTCTCGTGAATTTCCAGAGGAAGGTTGTTCCCAAGGTGAGGAGCCACCACCAAGAAGGCCCGGCTTCGTGTCCTTTCCCTCTGGGCCTCCCTCGGCGTCAGCCTCCTCAGCCTCACCTCTTGACTCATGCGGGTGATCTGTGTAGATCTTGGTGGGAGCCGGCGCTTTAACAAAAATTGAGGTCCTAAACTGTTTAGGGCCTTATAGGTAAGCATTAGAACTTTGAAGTCAATGCAAAAACAGATGGGCAGCCAGTGCAGTTTGGCCAGAACAGGAGAAATATGTTGGTGTTTTCTCACTCCAGTAAGGAGTCTGGCCGCTGCATTCTGCACCACTTGAAGTTTCCACATCAGTCTCAAAGGCAGCCTCATGTAGAGCACGTTACAGTGGTCTAATCTTGAGATTGCGAGCGCATGTACCAAGGTAGTGAGCGCCCCCATGTCAAGGTAGGGTTGCAGCCGGGCAATCCGCCAAAGGTGGAAAAAGGTGGTGCGAACTACCAACACCACTTGGGTTTCCATGGTGAGCGTCGGGTCCAGGTGTACCCCCAGGCTGCGAACTCCATTCTTAGCAGACAGGGTCATCCCCCCCAAATGTGAGAGAGCCACCCAGGCCACCAGCCCCAAGGGCGTCCACCCTCAGAACTTCCATCTTGTCCGGGTTCAGCCTCAGCCCATTTTCCTGCATCCACTGTAGTACGGCCCCCAGGCAGCGCTGGAGGGACAGGACGGCATCACCTGCAGTTGGTGAAAAGGAGATGTAAAGTTGGGTGTCATCAGCATACTGATGACACGAGGCTCCACACCTCGTAATGACCCCACCCAGCGGTCTCATATAGATGTTAAACAGCATTGGGGAGATAATCGACCCCTGTGGGACCCC